TTCATGGGCCATACTATGATCCACATACGACAGTTCTTCAAGTATTTCAACGCTTCTTTGAGTTGACTGAATGATACTGCCACCTTGCTCAGTACTCCACACTGTTTCAGCTCAACTTCCTCAAATGATGTTGCACATCTCGGTGCAATAAACGCAACAGGAAGTTCCTTTTCAGAACTTTGTCTTTTCTTACTGCTTGTCTTCTGAACTTTGACTCCTTTCTGTGCCTCTCCGCACATTTTTCGATCACTTCTGGAAGGAGTTTGATTCTTGCTGCCCTTCCTACATGTCGACATCTTCCAATTGCGCTCACAAGTTTCCTCTGGCCAGATTCCTTTGTCTGCTTTGACATCTCTTTTTCTCTCGATAAAAGTTTTCTTGTTGACAGCTACAGATCTGTCCTTCTCTGACATAGATCTGTTCACAGTTATAGTACCTTGTTGGATCTTCGCTCTTACTGAGGCGGTGTTTCTCTTATGTGGAGGCACCATCCTATCCTTTGCTTTTACTTTGACTTCAGGATTCTTGTGTATCACTACTTCCACCCCTAGACTCTTCAATGCATTTGTGCCGATGAGTACTTCCTCATTCCTATCGTCGGACACATGAAAGGCTACCTCCTTTTTGCATCCACCTTCTATTTCAACTTCTACTTTTACACCTCCGAGAAAGCTCATCACATGGTTGGATGCATCGTATATGCTTCCTTCCACAATGTCGAAAGTCTGAAGTGACTCGACATCGTACCCATTGTTCCTCGCCTCTATAAGCACGCTCATGGGTAGTATACTTATCTCTGAGCCCGTGTCTAGAAGCGTCGAAACCTTTCTTCCCAGCATTCTCGCTTGAGTCAATGTAATCCCGCCAACAAGTCTGTATGCATTGGATTGGGAGCTCTTTACGACCATGTTCCGGCCCCTACTTATCACTGATGTCACTCCATTCAAAGCCTTTATGGCGCATTCATTCTCCATTTCCTTGTAGTTACAATCTCTCATCACATGTCCGAAGTGATCACATTTAAAGCATCTTTTGTCTTCCTGATCCTCATCATAGACACTCGAGCTACTCGCTCGCTTCTGCCTTCTCATACCAACTTCCCTTTCGCCTCTCTCCGCTAAGCTGTTTCGACTTTGCTTCATAGCTGGCACATAGCCCTCCTTTCTACTTGCTTTCCTCCAAAACGGAGCTTGCTGTTCACTCCTCCTCTCAAATTTGCAAAATCTTCACGACTGTTCGATCTCAATCGCGATTTCTTTTATCTTATTATACGCCTAGGCTGGGTCCACTTGGTGTAGGGATCCCACTAGCTGTACGTATTCAGGCCATGATGTCAGGTTCTCCAGCAGAATCTGTGCGTACTCCATCGATCTTTCCTCAATGTTACATTGAGGATTGGCCTTCCTTGCTAGGTTCTCGAGTGCGGCACAGAAGTCCGCGACCTCTTGGCCTGACCTTAAGCGCATGTTCCTTAAGGCTGTCAGTGCCTTTAACCTAGCTGCTGTGGAGTCACAGGACAGTAGTGAAGCCATCTCCCTCACTACTCTGTCAAAGCCTTGCTGTCACCCCCATGGGTATGCTCAAAAATAAGGACTTTGCCCTTCCTTCCAAGTGTTCATCACCCAGGACCTCTATCAACAACTTTCCATTCTGGACCATGGTGCCATACTTTCTTTTGAACTTTCGAATGAACCTATCAAAGTCTTCATCCTCATAACCCTTGAAGACTCCAGGATCAGGAGAAGTCATGCTTTGAAAATAGCTGAGCAACTGATCTTCCACACCTCGAAAATTGTCGAGTGGTCCGACATCCGACCCTCTCAACACACTGCCTTCCCTCACTGCAACTGCCGTTGCTCTGGGACCGAATATCTGGTTTAACTCGGCTGTTAGGTTCTCCAGTCTACCTAACACTGTGGCTACTTTAGCCTCCAACTCTTCTTCAAGCTACTTTAGCCTCCAACTCTTCTTCAAGTGGCAATCTATCAACCGGTATCCTACATCGGCTAAGGACCTTGCTTACCATCCCAGGTAGCATTTCTACTTTTTTTCTGATGAGGCTTATCTCCTCCATCATCAAGTGTGCTCTCTCATGGATATCATCTGCACATCTTTGCTTCTGATCCATATCCATGAGCATGAACGTACTCGGCAGCGAAATGCTTCGCCTTGCCCTTACATTCATCGGTAATCAACGCCGCACGCGAAATCGCGAGTCTCAGCTGATCGAAGAGAGTCAATCACAATCGATACTCACGCCTCTATTAAGCGTGGATGATTTGATCATTAATCACTTCTCCCTTATACCTTAATTGCCTGCTCTGTATGATATGATAGAGACTTTTTTCCAGTTGATCTTAGATCTGACCTTCTTGGCCTGTTACGTACGTCACCTGCTTGATGACGTATAGATTTCCCACCTTTTTGGTCTTTTGGTTTCGCCTTCTTGGCCTGTTCTACGCGTTCTCTGCTGTCTTGCCTCTGAGACAGTATATCAGTCGCCCCGTGTGTATTTCAATCGATCCAGGTCTGCTCGGCCCCCATGTAACCGGGGGTGTCTAGTGGTATGACGGTTTTAACCGGATCGATAGACAACACGCATTGAACGACTAATAGTTTATCTCAGAAAAGGCAACGAACAACAACAAACAAGAACGTGTAACTCGAACAAGCTTAACAACGAAACGACGGGCTTTACCCTCTTGACCACTTCGGCAGGCTTACTAGGAACTCTCTATCTGAGGGGGAGATCCGCCTCTCTTCGACGGAGTTAGCTCCCGCTAGCGCTTCCTCAGCGCGGACCCCGAGACTCTTCCTAACTCCCGGTTATACCCTGCCGAAGGGGTCAGCGCGGGCTTTTCTTTCCGCCACTGGAGATCGATAGGTCGGTGATCCGCGCCCTCTGACATAGCCAAATCTTCGTGGAATTTTACTACTTACCCAATCTTACGCAGAATTATTTGTGAGTTGGTTTTTGAATGGCGAAGCATTACTTGCATTATTTCCCAATTTGTAAGTAGTTATCTATTTCTGATCTATAATTTTGATTGAGGTCCATGGCAAGCATCTTTTGAGTTTGACATACATTTGTGCAGGTTACCGCAAAAGAAAGTGGGAGGGATAGGTGGGAGGGGGGGGGGTAGGTGAGGAGGGGGGTCGTACGGATAGGTACTTTCAGGGGGGATGGGGGGGGGGGTCGTAGAAGAGGGTATCGCATCAGCACGTTTGACCCTGGTCATGAAATTGAAGGATAGTAAAGACACAACGTAGCACAAGTTATTTTTTTATTGGTTGTGCACCATAGATACCTAATGAAAGTTCAACACATGACAACATGTAAAATTTATAAGAAGGACTACAATTCGTTTACGGTATCGTACACTAGGATGCATCCGACTTTGGGCTTACGACCGGAGTGAGTTATGTTGCATCCCCGAGTTATGTTGCATCATGTGCATTCACCTGAACAGATATGATTAATTCTTAACTAATACTTGTAGGAAAACTTTTATTTCGCGAGCATAAGCGCGAGTTTTGACTGCAAACGCATAATCTGAATCACGACGTTTTCATGGGCAAACTGAGCTAACCATGCTGCTTGAGGAGCAAATCTATAGAGACGGCAAGACAACCTACAAAGCTGTTTTATAAACAGTTGCATTCAATAGTTTGAGTTTTTCCTCACGCGAAAAGAGCGCTTAAATAGCAAGTTAACGAAGCTCGTGGAGACAAAGTCTGTTTTCGCCGATTTTGAAAGTATGAAATGGTCAGAGAAAAGAGTAGATCAACCGTAAAATTGACATTTCCTGCTTGAGTGATTACTAACATGTTCTGTTTGCAGCCAAGTTAGTTCAGAAAGCTTTAAAAAAGACAGTGATAGAATTAAGAAAAAGAAAAGATGATGTGAATGTACTATATGTTTTGCCCGTTTTGAAAATTCCTTTTCAGGTATCAGGTTAATGCACAATTTTTGCACCAAAATTTTGGGGTGTGACGCGGAAGGCGACAATCCTCAAATCTTGTGCCTTTCAAAACTCTTCGGTGCTGAAGTGACACGGCGCCAAGGTAGGGGGGGGGGAGGCAGATACACACTCGATGCCATAAGTAAATTTTTGTAAAAAGTAGAAAGAGCGATTTTACACTGCTTGCGTTTTGCGTGCATTGTCGCCTTCCGCGTGTCCGCCAAATTTTGGAATCTCTACCACTTTTACAGCTTTATGAAATCTCTTCATTCGATAGCTAATAAAGAAAGAAAGCTTTACTAACATGTTAGTAAAGCAGCAGATTGTGAACATCTTCGACTGCCATGTTTATGTTTATGTTCGAAAAGTAAACATTATGTATCACATCTATGATGCACTTACTGCGTGCAGCTCATTCGCAGTTTCTGAAGGTTTTCGAATTTGAGGCGTAGAGCGTCGGCTAAAGGAAAATTAATCTAATAGGTAGGCTAATGAATATGTTTGTTTTGACATGCAAATTCAAAGCTTCACAGCACTTCATGGAACAGCTATTCAGCTAAGATTTCTTCATGAGAGGATAGCTTCAAGCGTCTACTCTCAGATGAGTAGTCAAGATCTTTTGTCATGAAAAAATGACAGTTATACCCTGTTACAGTTATACAGTTTTATGTTCAGACTTTCAAAAAATCACTTTTTGATTTCTAACTTTCGTTCTCAACCTGCAGTGAGTACAAAGGCGAGTAAATGGTTGGATACATACAGCCTCTGGCTGGGTGGCGAATCAAATGGAGATTGTGACAAGCTGTTTCTATATGCGCTTGTTGAATCTTGGCACTCCAGAATTTAACAACCTATGGCCATGCAAATGGTTGAGATTTTGATAATTTGTTGTGTGGGTACCGAATCTACAATTCACACCTGACTTCAGGTCGTTTTTCAGAGCGTGATTCTTATTTTCTGCACCAATTCGTCAATAGAAAAATTATTTTTAAGAAACTGATCTGTGACAATTCTACAAACCGCTAAAAACGACCGAACTTATTTTTTAGCCGTATTAAATCCCAGATACATGTTTGAAACACCTTTACGTTTAGCTGTAACATTTACGGTCTTTTCCCTAAGCATGAATTTATGAAATCTTACGGTGGTCATCAACTTAACAAAAGAAGATTGAAACTCACAGTTGCCAACAGTATCCATTGAAATATGTTATCAGCAACACTTTTTTATACTTTGGATTAGGGCTAAAATATAGGATCATTGGCATCGAATTAAGACTTTTGACACTTACTCAAAGGGACTAATAGTTCTTAGGTAGTAAGGATTTCCTGTATAGCCTTTTGAAGTCAAACCATATGGCTGCAGTGTGCAATTGTATTCTGGTTTATCGCTAGCATTCTAAACCGAATAGAACTCCATGTAAATTTTACAACGCATGTACTGAGTACAAACCTACTTTTCCTTGTCTGTCCCGAAGCTGATCTATATCGTTACCGATACGACTTTTCATGTCTTCTAATAGGGACACATAAGGGAATTCAGTGCACCTTGGAGCGACGGCCGTAACCGTTATAGGTGAGATCTAAATACTCGCAAATCTTCTGTATGATGAAAAAAATGCGAAACTTACCATAAAGCTTACTAAGCCAAGAAGCATCATTGATTAGAATGAGGCTCTCTCTAAGTTTGATACGAGTTTGCACTTGATACAAGTGCACTTTTTCTTATTATCATTGCGAATTAATTTACTGAAGGCCATATGAGCTGTCGATACCACAATAGCAGCAGTCCTTATTTCGCTGTTTAGCTTTGCACATTCAGTATTGGAGATCATTTGAGCAATAACAAGTGAAGCATCAAAGAATGAAGGACATGTTACAAAAAATACAGTCACATTAATTTATTGATAATTTCTTCGATGTCTGAATAATATCAAAAAAGTATTATTCGCAAAACAAACATAAAAAATTCTCCTTGTAATTTTTCCTTCCGCGGCTTTTCGGATATTGATTTAGATATTATATTCGATTGAGTATACTTACAAGGGAAAGTTACTTGCTGACCGTGACCATCAATAATGATCTATGTATGGAAAAATGCGCCTTTTATGCTGGTTCGGAGACTTCTCCCGTATCTGCGAAACAATAACCTGGTTGGAATTACGCTTTTTTTATTTCAAGAATAACTTAGCTGTTGAGCAGGATCAAAACCATTATCAAAAAATCTTCTTTTCTTTTTTGATTGGTGAATATGATTTAGATAGTTATAAGTATAAGAGTAGTCCTTTTAAAAAATTTCAAAAACAAACGGTAAACTGGAAGAAATTTGGTGGTTTTAATCATCCAAAAATACGCAAATTTTCAAAGAAAAGTTCATAACTTTGTTGAGAAGATTTTTCGCAGATATCGAGCGCAGATTCAAAATCAGCGTTTTAAAATGCATCTTATGGTATACGTCTCGTTTCAAAAGGCCACGGTCACCACGTATCCTTCCCTTGTTAGTCATTCAATTTATTGCGTGAGTTAACACCCTAAATACTCATGAAACTCTTGTGAAACACTTGAATAAGGCTAGAAACCTCAACCAATTTGTTTTTCGAATGGGCTGCAGAATTTGCAGAATCAAGTCACAACATTTCATGCCCGTGATTAAGGAGATTACAGTACACGCCCACAGTTACACACCATTGATTATCTATGGTGGATGACAGAGCACTTACCAGTCTAAGCCTCCGACTACATATGAATATTTAACAATAAGCTAAGCTGTTTTCTCTTTTGGAAACAATAACTGACTGAGTTCAATGAAGACTCGATGACTTGAGCAAAGCTTCCAACCAAAAGCATTTTTACCTTTCTCACCTTTTGTTATTGGAAATTAGCTACAAAAATTCTAAAGTCACATGCATTTTGATGTAAATTGGCAATGGATGCATACTGCCTTCGTTTGCTCAATCATACTTTCGAAACATAGAGCCATGGCTCTGGTGGCCTATTTTCTCTTCACTTTAGATTCAAACTGTTTCGTGCAATTTTGCTTCTGTCTATATCGTGGACAACGTCGCAGAGCTTTCCTTCTTGATCGTGGTGAAATATTTGATAAAAAGCTTCAAAATGTGAGTTTTTGTTCATAGTTAATGTTAGTTATTGTTTCCAGGACTGGTCCCAGGACCGAAATTTTTTTCAATGTTGAAATTTTCGTTATTTACAAACATAAACAAGCTACTTGCACATTTTTATAACCATGTAAGTAATTTTTAAGAATTTCGCGAGCGTATTCTTTGGGGGGGGGGGGGGGAAGGTCTCGGACCGCTACTGGTATCTACTGAACATAGTGCTTTAACAATCATTGTTGCTTTATTAAATCACTAGAAAAAACACAGCTATTTTTGTTCTACTTGCATACATATGCTATATGTATACATGCCATTCAAAAGGGCCACTTCAACCGAATATCCTTCCCTTGAAAGTCGAAATACATGCACGCCAAAGCCAATATAATTTTTGTTGCATCCTTCAAATTTTTGCCCCCTTCTCGTAGTTTCTGTTACTGGCGAAGTTGTCATCTTGTCCTGCTCATAAATTTGAGTAAGATGCCCTCAAGGTTGGAAGAAATATTTGCTTGATAATTCCAACCAGAATGATGATAATCATTAAAGCATTTTATTCAGTAGATATTCCAAGAAAAAATCACATGATTGCTCTATTTGAGGGGTTGTAATCTAGCAACTCATTTTACATAAATGCACATTTGATGTTAGATTTAAAAAACGTCATAACTCCTCGTCCAAAATCTTCCGCAGATAAGGAAGGCATAAGCGTTTTACTCTCTTTATACATATCGTATACACCCCTTTGAAGCCACTTCGATTTAGCATGCTTTCCTTTTGGTAAAAACAGAACTTTGCCATTCATAACTGATTTTTTTTATTTGTCTTGCTCTTGATGATTACCATCTCCGAAACATGTTGGTTTTTGAAATACCAATCAAAACAAACAAACAAGCACAATCAAAAAAGAAAGCAACTTCTCAGTGTGTTCTCCCCGTGTTGTGGATCCACGAAGAAGAAAGCAACTTATCCTTGTTTTTCCCACATGTTGTGGATTGCCTAATCTTGAAGCGAAAGCCTGCACATACAGTCGATGTCAATTACGTACTCCCTTTCGCACGGGAACTACGCATGCGCAACGCAAAGGTCCTGCATGCGGACCTCCAATCGATAAGGCCCACTTGAACGCCCAAGTCATGCGCGCGCGAAAGTGGCGCGAAGCTCACTGCATTTACGGAAAAGGGAGCACTTGGTTGACACGGACTGTATGCTGTCAAATGAAAGATATTGAACTTATAACATTTTTCCGATTTTCAAGAGTTTCTTCTGCATTTGCTATTTGTTGTGATCATCTCTTCTCTGAATTTTCTATTAAAAGAACCTTCACTTCTTATGAATGGGAGATATTCAAACAATCTTCACTTTTGAGGCTCTATCTCGAGACTATCAAGCGTATGTTCTCAACTTACATAGCATTTTGCGTTGTTTAAGATCCGATGCAGAGAATGAAAACTGATTATCTTTTTCTCACCTCTGATTATTCTATAAACGCTCCAATTTCTGAGATGGAAGATAGAGTGAGATTTGATGTTTTACGGTAAAGTAGGTGACCCTTCAAGAATATGCAAGCTCTACAAAAGACTGTCGCTTGCAGAAAAAGTTTTTGCCAAAAAAACAAAGAAAAACAGACAGAAAACAACAACATCTCCAGTAAGAGAACAGTTTAAGGATAAATAAGGGTAAAGGAGGTAAAGGACTCGGCTCCCCCAATACCCTTTGCTGGTGTGCACCGAACGCACTCTACTTCATAATCGAAGAAATTACTGATTTGCGAACCTTTTAGAGTGAGTTGCGAGGGCCAGCCGGTTTATCAAGTCAATGCTTTTATCCTCCCTATTACTCTAAAATCACTTGCTGGCCGAGAGTAGAGAATTTGATTGCCCCAGATTTGAGAGTAATAGAACCTATGTCCGATGGTCATAGCACTGCCTCATACCACTGCGCCACTGGTCCCCCACAAGTTTTTTTTTTCGTAAAAACTATTGCTCAAAATATTAGGTTGTCCCGAAAGTTCTGTTCGTTTTTTCATCGCTCATTACAACTCAAAGAAGTTTTGTCGCATCATTTTGAAAAAATCATAATATCCTAGTCATGATAGTCTTGAGTGCCAAAAAATGATTGGAAAGAATGAATCATGCACTTTTGAATGAACCCCTGTTTGTTCTACTATGCTCTGAATGCAGTGAAAACAATGAGAAAAGGAATTATTTCAGATCCGGAATTTCGCGGCAGGTCCGCTAGAAATCCAAAACTGAGCAATAAAATCCAAAACAGCCAGTGTCATAAATTTTCATACCCCTTCTTCCTAGATAGGCAAAATTTGTGCTGATTGAGCTTTTCTTTGAAAATATGATTTTCAAGAAAAAATGTTAAAAATCACTCTCTTAATAAAATTGATTTTTTGGCATTTTTTCTCGAAAATTATAACTTTTCGAAGAAGAGCTCAATCGGTGCAAATTTTGCTCAGTTGGAAAGAGTGGTTTGAAATCTATGACGCTGGCTGTTCCAAATTTTATTGCACACAATTTGGATTTGACGGGCCTGGCCGAATCTGAAGCAACTTCCTTTCCCCATTTTCTTCTCTGCAATCAGAGCGTTAGGAGGACGCTAGCAAGGGTTCATCAAAAAGTGCATGTTTTTATCTTTCTAATGATTGCCAGTCAGGAACATTGTGAAAGGAAGAAGTTACGATTTTTTGCATATGGTGCGACAGAAGCGACAGAATTTTTGGACCAACTTGAAACTTAAATAATAATCCTCAGAATGCTGATGCTATTTATGACTTGAGTTCTCGGCCACTGCCCACGATCATACTGGGCGATTTCAATGTAGACTTTTGCGCAGTCAATAAAAGCACTCGCGATAAAAAAAACTTTTGTCGTCTTTGAGTTACTACGCTTGAGTTACTGCGCCCTTAAGCAAAACCTAACAAATGCTACAAGAGAAAATTCCATTCTTGATTTGATCTTCTCTACCGATGACGTCATCAAAGATGTTCGCATTGATCCTCCTTTTGGCAATTCGGATCACAATGTGATTACATTCGAAGTCCACCTCAATATTTATAAATCAATATTTCTTCCTTACCCTGACTATTCCAGTGCGAACTATGCGGCCATGGACAGGAGTCTTTCCTTTATAGATTGGCCAGCAATCTTTTATGATTGTGTGACGATTGATGATTTATACAAACGTTTTTGTAATCAAATATACAGTGCTCTAGCGAACTTTGTACCTTTTCGCTACAGCACCTCACATATTTTCCATTATCCTAAACATATTGTCAATCTATTGCAACAAAAATGCAGGCTTTTTGTTACTATGCATGATCCTCTCACGAATGATTTGTGTAGAAAAGTCTGTTCAGATATAAGTCATCACATCAAGAGATTTCTGACCAATCGGGAATGATGTTTTGCTAGATCTGACTTCAAGAAACTTTACCAATATCTAAAACTATTAGGTCGTTCCGAAAGTAATGTCGCTTTTTTTCAAACGTACGCCACATTTCGTGGAACAAAGATGTGTAAGAGATTCTAGTAGCATCT